CCTATTTTTTAAAGTTTCTATGAACTCTCTTATGATGACTAAGTCCTGTAGAGTTAGCAAAGACTTTCCCACAAAATTCACACATGCACACTTTCTCTCTAGAATGAACCTTTTGATGTCTTGTAAGGCTGGAAATATAACAAAATGTTTTGTTGCATTCTTCACATTTGTAGGGTCTCTGTCCAGTATGAACAACCTTGTGCTGGGTAACACCTGAAACGGTGGTAAAGGACTTGTCACATTCCTGACATCTGAAAGGTTTCTCTCCAGTGTGAACTCTTTGGTGTTGGCGAAGGAGTGTAGATCTTTTAAAAGCTTTGCCACATTCTTTGCATTTGTACGGTTTCTCTTCTGAATGAATTCTTTGATGTTTTCTGAGTTTTGTAGTAGAGTAAAACATTTTGTCACATTTGTCACATGGGTAGGATTCCTCTCCACTATGAATTCTCTGATGTCGGCTGAGGGCTAAAGGAAAATAAAAATTTTTACCACATTCATCACACTTGTAAGGGAAGTCCCCAGTATGAATGACCTTATGCTTAGTAAGGGAGTAATTATGAGCAAAGGCATTTCCACATTCTTCACACTTGTAGGGTTTCTCTCCAGTATGAATTCTCCTGTGTTTAAAAAGGATTGAGCGAGTACCAAAGGTCTTGCCACATTCTTCACACTCGTAGGGTTTCTCTCCAGTATGAATTCGTTTGTGTTTGGAAAGTGTTGAGTGGGTAACAAAGGCTTTGCCACATTCATTACACTTGTAGGGTTTCTCTCCGGTATGAATTCTCTTGTGTTCAGAGAGTTTTGAGTGAGTACGAAAGGCTTTGCCACATTCTTCACAACCATAGGGGTTCTCTCCAGAATGATTTCTTTGATGATGTTTAAGGGCTGAAGGAAAGTAAAAACTTTTGCCACATTCTTCACATTTGTAGGGTTTGTGTGCCGTGTGCCGTATCTTGTGCCAAGTCAGAGATGAATTACTTGTAAAGGCTTTTCCACATTCTTCACACCTATACGGTTTCTCTCCAGTATGAATTCTCTTGTGTTTAGAAAGGTTTGAGTGATCACCAAAGCACCTGCCACATTCTTCACACTTGTACGGTTTCTCCCCAGAATGAATTCTTCCATGCTGCTTAAGCACTGAAGCAGAGTAAAACCTTTTGCCACATTCTTCACATTCAAAAGATTTTGCACCCGTATGCCTTTTCTTGTGGGCATTTAGAGCTGAATTACTAATAAAGGCTTTTCCACATTCTTCACACCGGTAGGGCTTCTCTCCAGTATGAATTCTCTGATGTATAGAAAGTGCTGAGCGAGTACCAAAGGCTTTACCACATTCTTCACACCGGTAGGGCTTCTCTCCAGTATGAATTCTCTGATGTACTCTAAGATATGACACCCACATAAAGGACTTGTCACATTCTTCACATTTGAAGGGTTTCTCATCAGTATGAATTCTTTGGTGGGTTCTAAAGATGTGGTATTTGACTAAAGGACTTTCCACATTCTTCACATTTGTACGGTTTTTCTCCAGTATGCATTCTGTAATGTTTCCTAAGTGTTGAGTTCCCAGTAAAGGCCCTGCCACATTCTTCACATCTCTAGGGCTTCTCTCCAGTATGAATTCTTTTGATGTGCTCTAAGATATGACACCCACATAAAGGACTTGTCACATTCTTCACATTTGAAGGGTTTCTCATCAGTATGAATTCTTTGGTGGGTTCTAAAGATGTGGTATTTGACTAAAGGACTTTCCACATTCTTCACATTTGTACGGTTTTTCTCCAGTATGCATTCTGTAATGTTTCCTAAGTGTTGAGTTCCCAGTAAAGG